TGAGCCCATCCTGTAACGGACACCCGTCTCTTCCCTGGGCTCGGTTTTCAGCTTTCCTTTGATTGATGTTATATTCATGACATGCGGAGGAACTGCTGCAGAGGAAGGAGGCAGCAAAGGTGGTGTGTGAGGAAAAGAGACTTATGGATCCCTAAGTTTTGTACTTTTTTTTGTCTCCAGCCTCATGTCAGCTGTTCCCTCCTAATATCACCCCTCCAACACACAGACATACACCCCCCACCTCTTCCTTATCTGTGCCAAAACGTTTTGGTACGTTTATTAAAATGTACTGTGTTCTCTATTCAAACGCTGAATCCTCTCTCCTGTGTTTGTGTGTGAAGGTCACGAGACAGCGGGGATGGTGTCGGTGAGGGCGGTGTATGAGATTGCGCAGGTGAAGGCCGAGGATGATTGCTTCAAAATGAGGAACACCTCCCTACAGACGGTCGTCAAGCGCATCATCGGCTCGGCTCGTTCGCTGGGCATCCAGATCGTCAACGAGTGAGTCCTCGTTCTGTGTTTGGTGACCTTTTTAAAAAAATAATTTGAGCTGATTTAAGGGTTGGGGTTAGGCGAGTAGGGCTCTCAGAGGCTTTGACTTCAGTCCAAGAACATGCAGGAATAAAACGCCACTCACATTCCTGCAGAGATGAGCAGAAGCAGCAGGTGTTGTCTCGTCTGTAGATGCTGCTACATCCCCCCTTACAGCCACTAGAGGTCAGAGGAGAGCGCAGTACAGAGACCACAGTGGCCAAAATAACATGAACACAGTGCAGTAGATAGTAGAGTATAAAATGCAATAAAACAATAGCCCTGCAGCAAAATCATTTATTGTTATAAAGTCAAAAGATTTGTGATGTCCCCGTCACATTTGATCTCCAAAAGGTCCTTGTTCCTTTTTATTATGCTCTTTATAGCGTGCTTAGATGAACTCAAGCATGACACACAGGCTCCTGGAAGAAAAGTGGACCCTTCATCTTAACGAGGGAACATGTGAAGAATCTATATGCCTTAAACCTTGAGCATCTATCCATACGAAGTCCTATTCAATATTTACATAGACAGTATGTATGTAAAGAAACCTGAACGTTCAGGAAAATAAGCACTCTGGTAGTTAAACAATGTAATAAAGACTTGAAAACTCAGGGAAGGTGTTCACGGTTAAAACGTGATTAATGCGTGGTACGACGGGGACCTATTCATGCTTCCGAGCACGGGGGCTCATTGTTTCTTAATTTGCCACTCTGTTTAATAAGACCCTGACAGTATTCATCTATCTTTGGCTCAGGGTTTAGTTTGTGTTGCTAAATAACATTATACTGTGTTATATAGTGCAACCCCACTCATACAAAACAACATATATAACAACATGTGACCCAACAACAACAACAACAACCCCCGCAATTACAGTATAATGTCATGTACTGTATACAACATCTAAAGTACGTTTAACATATACTTACTTCAAAAACAATTGACTCGGACTGTTTGTAGTAAATACTGTCAAATCAGTATGTAATGTGGATTTCCGACTGAATGCAATGAGCTTCAGAAAGATATCAGAGATGTGAACTCCCCTTGGCATCTTATCATCCACCTGTTCTGCTTTCAAACCTTTAGATATGTGTGATTTATCAGCTGCACAGCAGGGTCTGTTTCAGTTCAGTCTTCCTGCACAATCGCACACCCCCACAACCCCTCTGGTTCTTCTTCCCTTAATGATATTCTACTTTTCCCAGAGTCCCTTTCTCTCCTTACTTAAACCCCAACATGTCTTGAGGCGGCAGTGCATGATGATTTATTGAGAGTGCTGTCAGAGGAGGAATGGCTGCCTGTTTAACAATGGATCTGTCCCTGGCTGGCTGTTCTGCTGCACTGTGGCGAGTCCCGAAACAAGATCGCTGCTCTTTGTTTCCGGGGG